GGTAAATGGGACAAATAGCTTTTTCTGAAAAAGAAACCCTACTCCACTAGCAATGCGCGCGCGTTGCTTCATGGCACATTTGGTCTCTGGCCGATCCTGCAATGGGCTTTGAGAGTGCATGGAGTTCTCAGCATAGCGAAGTTATTCATACATAAGTACTCGTTATCATCATGCTAGCCCTGTTAGCCCAGAAGATCTCCACCCGGGAAAGACTAAAGATTTGGTTTATAAAAGAAAATAAAAAGCAGGGACTAAAAAACTATTTTCAAATTAAATTACTACAGCCATCTTCTAATTTTATGAAGTGAAATCGATGTATTTTGGTTCCATCTTACCTAAAATTGTAAGAAATAAACATTTGTATAGTGCAATTCCACATGAGTCAACTAGCCTATTTAGAATTTTCGAAAATTTATTCTGCCACTATCATGATGCTACATTAATCTGCATTAAAATATGTTGAAAAAAAATTTTTAGACTACATTACGTCTTGGTACCTACTATCAACGACGACAAAATCATATACCTAAATTGCCACCAGCTCCTTAGCTGTAAGTTCCTTACTTACCTTTAACCCTCTTTTGTACCACACGCACCGCATCGTACTACTTCTAATTTCGTGTTTTGAACCGCATACCTTATTGTCCATTTTCATTAACTTTAAACCGACACTTTGTCGCTGTAACGCGCAAACAGTTAATAGAATTCTGGACTACAGTTTGTTTTTCTTTTTAGTTTTTTATAAACTTATTTTTTAAGTATGCGGAATTTGGGAAACTCCCGGGAATTTTATGAAATTCGCTTAGACTCTGTGCTAGTACGAATTGACCAATAAGGAAAAGCAATAAAATATATTGGGTTTGATAAAGCGGGTTCTTTTACAATGCAATATAATATGCCTCACATAATTAGAAAAAAGAAAATACCCATTGTACTTATGAATCGTATAGCATTTGATGCATAATGATGGCAGTGAAAGTGCATTGTAAAATAATAAGGAATTCAAAGTAGGTACCAAGGCAACGATTACACCAGATAGAGGGGAGGTGGTCAAAGCGAATTTCCAGCTTGAATTAGAGCGCTTATTTGGGAAAGACTCGGAAGTGTGTTGTGCTTGTGTTCCTTCTTTTATTATTTGCACTCAGTCTTTGGACGGTAAGCTAATAAACGTGACAGAAGTGGTCAGCCAGCGCCACCACTTCCCTTAAAGAAAATTCTTCCTCTTTAGTCTCGAGACTCCGTAGAGGATTAGGGTGGTTTCAGTTGAGGGTGGTTGCACTTTTTTATCTTCTCAACGACAGTGCAAATATTCAGGTATTCATGAATTTCGTATTTTTTTGTGAATCATGGTGCATTTTATTTTGAACTCGTTGCAAACTAGTAATGTGGAATTTGCTAGCATTGATTCACAATGGATCCCATACTTCCAAACTAGTTTGATAATGGAGTTGTATGTAGAATATATTTTATTAACCCTCATATTACAATACAAATTCAAAAAACACAGGGCTAACCAGGACTCTGCCTCAGCGTCAGCATTAGCTGATGCGACATTGTGTGGCACCAGCGCTGCTATATGAGAAGCTTGTTGTCAATTGATAGATCAGAGTTGCGGTTTAGATGCCAATGAAGATTTCTTTTGATATTGACCTCACCTCTTTTTTTTATACGCTGCTTCTAGGTGTCTCCTATCCAAGTGGAAACCAAGATACTTGACGCAATCTGAATGTGGGAGTGTGTCCGAGCCGAGTTGAAAAATTTCCCTTCCGTATGTATAAACAGTGGCGTCGTCAGCTGTAGGATGTTCGCATCATACGACCTTGCGGGACACCCGCCTCTACAGCTTGCAAGGAATGAGTGATCATGAGTCACCGACCTTGACCCTGAAGTATCTTTGTGAAACGTACGATGCAATTTATAACTGCTGTACAAGCTATCTTCGCGTTTGGATTTTATCACCAATTAACATCAGGTGGGGTAGAGTCATTGGCCTACTTGGCTATATAAAAAATGGGGTAAACCGAGTAAAGCTTGCCCAAATAATAAAAGTTTGCTCCCTTACCATTGGTCTTTGTCCTTATTCTTTTTATAGTGAGGTAAGTGGGGGTAAGCAAAGGACTCTAACCCACCTGATGTTAAGTGGTGATAAAGTCCAAACGCGAAGATATCTAGTACAGGGTTATAAACTGCTACACCAACCATTTGTGCCGGCCTGCAAAAATCCGTCTCTCCAATGGTCTGTAAAGCAGCGTCTATATAACAAATAGTTTTTTTTACAATGTGACAAAGTAAAACTCAAGGAAAAATTTTCTTACAAAAAATATGCTGATACATACAGATATTCTGAGAATATGAAGATCTAATAGACGTTCTACTATACAGACCATCCTCATTAGGCTTTCTGTTACCTAGACCTAATCGTGAAGCTTAAAACGTTGTTAAGGTAGCGAAGATTTCAGCTTTCTCTCAGTCGATTAATGTGGTTTATCAAGGAATTCACCATAGATTGAGGCGGATTTTATCGTTACGTGTTTCGGCTGCGCCGCCGTAGGAGCACACGCTCTCAGAGATGTATGGTGTCATGCCTTGATCACACGTACCCAGCAAAGGTGCGAGACAGTGCTCTCGGCCGAGTACTCGGTACGTATTTGTCTCGGCTGAGAAAAATTTTACTGTCAAGCCCGTTTATTCGGTACGTGTGATCAAGGCAGGCATTAGTAGTTGCGTTTGAGCAGTGCCGTTCGGTAAACGCGTAAAGGCTGTTGAACAGTGCGCTGCCCAACGGAGTGACTATAAAACCAACTTGCGAGAATCTATCGCAACCGGTGATACAAATACACTCCCGGACACCTAAATCGAGCCACCTTGAAAAGATGTATGTAGAAGGAAAATGTTTTGATGCAGTTTTGGACCTGGTATACTCATCATTTGTTTAGAGTGCCACTGTTCTAAATTTGAACTACAGTTTATTAAAAAAGTCGAGTTACGATTTTATTTATTTTTTAAGCATTTAACTGCTAGATGTTTAAATCTAAAGATAAGTTTACTAGAAAAAAAATCCACGCGGACGGGACTCGAACCCGCATCCTTCACTATCCGGGCTATTGTGGGTTACCTACAATGCGAAGAGATGGCGCTGCCTTGCAGCTTAAGACTAGGAAAATTTCGACTTGGCTAATAGGGCCGTGGTAGCATATTGGTCAGTGCATTCGCCCGGATAGCGAAGGATGCGGGTTCGAGTCCCGTCCGCTGCCTGGTCCGCGTGGATTTTTTTCTAGTAAACTTTTCTTTAGATTTAAAGTCGAGTTACGTTGAAACAAGTCCATATTTGCTTTGTTCAAGGAAAAAATCTAATCGATTTTTAAATAAACACCAGTACCCTTAGTACGAGTAGTTTTCGTAATTGTAAATTATGTTTCTATGTCCATTTTGGTGAAAAGTAACCTAATATACATAAAATTTTAGATTTAATGATGGAATTTAAACACTGTTTATTTGTATTGAAACGAAAACAATAAAATCAGTACCCTTAGTACGAGTGCGAGCTCTCGAAAACTATCGTAGTTTTTGTAATTGTAAACTCTTACTAAGGGTAATGTTTTACATGAAAAGAAATGTTTATTTAGTAACTTGTATTGCCTCCCAGTGCATTTATGACAGCTCTCGTACGGTTTGGCATAGAATTAATCAATGTCGTTATGACATGTTGAGGAATGTCCTCCCATTCTTCCAAAATTACATTTTTGAGCTCCTGCATGGTTTGCGGGGCAGGATGATGAGCTCGAACACGCCTCTTCAGCTCATCCCATAGATGCTCTATAGGTTTTACATCAGGACTTCGCGCTGGCCATCTCATAACAGTGATACCAATGTCATTTAAGTACTCCCTGACGATTCCCGCAGTATGGGCCCTTGCATTATCATGCATTAAAACGAAATCTTGGCCAATTAATCCAGCATATGGCATCACGTGGTTCTCTAAACATTGGCGAATGTATCTATTGCCATCTAGGGGCGGCAGTCGTGCTCCCGTCACTACCTCTAGCTCAGTTTTGCCTTCCATAGAGATTCCTCCCCAAACTGTCCATGATCCTCCACCATAACTCACTTTCTCGTCAATACAGCATTGCGCGAAACGCTCGTTCTGTCTTCGGTGCACCTTACTCCTTCCGTCATTACCGTATAGCATTATCTTGGACTCATCTGTGAAGAGAACCTGGCTCCATTGATGTTAGAGTCCAATTTAGATGTTCGCGCGCAAACTCCTAGACGGGCTATTCGGTGTGCTCGTGTCAATTTGGGTCCATTGGCTGGCTTATGGGGCTTTAAACCACGTTCATTGAGTCGCCTTCTCACGGTCCGAGCACTTACAGCCACTCCGTGAAAGTCCCCGAGCTGTTCTTGTATCTGAACAGAGTTAAGGCGTCGATTTCGTAAGCTAGTAGTGACAATGTATTGATCTTGTCTCGCTGTTGTCACTCGGTAACGAGGTCCTCCTGTTCGCCGAACGAAGCCGCCAGTCTCCAGGTATCGGTGGTACACTCTTTGAACAGCGGAACGACTTTGTGAAGTTGTGAACTCACATCTCGCTGATTTAGCCTAGATTGAAGAAGTGCTACAGCTTGCACGCGGCTACTTCAGGTGAAGTATCCATAATTTTATAGCCAAAAACGGTTCAAATTATAGAAAAATAACTTGGGTTTACAATTGCGAAAATTCAAACCAAATCGACATTAAATTGCTTCAAAAGCACAAGTCATTATTTTTTTCAAATCAGTGACCAAGCTCTGCTTTTGTCCTTTATTTTAAATTCTAAAATTTAAATTTGGAATAATACATACGGGAAAGACGATGAATATGCCAGCATTAAAAATGCATAAATACTTTGTTATATTGTATATTTTTTGTGTATTGGGCTTTTAGGCCCGATAATGTAAGGTGGCTCGATTCAAGAGTCCGGGAGTGTATTTCAGAGGTAAATAAAAAAAATATTTTGTATACTTATTTTTATTCTTATGAAATAAATTACAACTAAACACAGCAAGTTAGAATGCATATCTGGTTCTAATGTCCTCCAGTTTTTTTGAGACTTCCGCCGGAGTTCGTTCAAGGTCTCCCGCTATGGCCTTCTGTTTTGCAGGGTCCAAGGAATTGAACTGCTCACATAAGTCTCCGTCGATGACATTCTGCAAAGAAAATAGAATGCTATAATTATCTTATATGGTTTTATTAATAAACATAGACATACCAATGCCATGTCCTTCCGCGGGACTTAAAAAATATTCAGCGGTTGAGCGTGAAGAGGTATTAGGTACACACTTTCACATATAACCTCTTGAAAATTGGAATCTTTGAAATGAAAAGTGCTGCATATAAATCTGTTAGTTCTAAATACTACGGGAACATCTTGAGATGTGCCCGACTCTCAAGAACAAAGCGGCCGGCTTCAGCTCGAGGTCGCCATAACGGCGAGCACTTGAGCCGCCGCCAAACCACACTAATCTTCCAACAGTGTAACACAGTCAATCCCAAATACGAGAGTGACTGTTGACTTACTGTTGATGCAAAAATGTTGCTGACCAACTCTGGAAATCGAATTCCACTTAAAATGTCTTTAATCATTATTGACATGGTGATTGTGGTGTTACGCTAAAATTCATTCATAGTACCATCAGTGGCTTGATTTAATAGCGCTCTTAAGGCGGATTTACGCCGGGGCAACAACATGTGACAGTGCCTCATGCTACACATTTTGACGCGGGTCATCTAAGAGTACGCTTGCTAATAGAAATAAAATCTGCTTCATATGCAACATCATGCTCAGATCATTTTCAAAGCATTGTAGTGTAAATTATTGGAGTGGCATGCCGTACAGTGTTGTACCAGTGTAAATCAGCCTTTAGCAACGTACCGCCAATTAATTCGTGATATAATGATTATCCTCATTGATAGGAAAAGTAAACTACCCCCTTTTAAAGGCTTGCTTGTAAATTAGATGCCTAGTAATATAATGAAATAAAATCTATGACTAACCTTTACAGGGTAGTAGTAACTTCTGAATGATAAGTGGTCTCGCCCACACAGAGGAGAGTTCTCACTTCGCATATGCATCTCCAAGTGTTGGAAGAAATCATGGTCTTCTCTCGAAGTGAACGGCAGCAATACTCCTAAGGACCCACTAACAGTTGCGTATAGAAGCGCTTCTGATCCACCAGGAATCAATGTAGCTCTTTGTAATGAAGTAATAGTTTCACCTATATGGAAATTCACTACTATTTCTCCCTTTTGTGACGCCCCATTGAGGAGACCTGTAAATAAGTGCGACTTTTAATGAAATTCAATTAATATGCATCATTTAATAAGGAGCACAAATCAGAAAGGAATACTAGAATCATTAATTTATCATTAGTCTAGCATGTGTTAATTATTCTTATCATCACAATGAAAAAAGACATCAATAATAGTAACAAATAGTGTTTACCTCTGTCCCAGAGAGCTTTGTTTCCTGTGGGGTCTTCATCTACATCATCGGAAACAGACTGGGGTAATCTCATTACAGCGACATTGCCAAACTTATCCGACATAGCGACTGTGTCGTAATCCAATATACATTCATTTGTTATCCATCTAGGATTTGTGTCGTCGGCAAATATGATTAGTTGGTTCTCTCTCTTTTTGTATTTGATACAGAATACTGATTCTTGCACGTCGGCCGCGAATATTCTTTGCCCAATGGTTTTAATATCGGCAATCAGATTTGGAATGTGCCTGTTTTCACATTTGCGGAGTAATTTCCTTCTGCCAATGTCGTATAATCTGAGCATGCGACCTACGCCTGCTACGAGTCGCCCGTTGAATGCAGCTAGAGCTCCTGGATATTCATCAATGGGTGTTTTGTGTACCAATTCCAATTTGCCAGTGGTGTAAATCTGTAAACAATAAATAATCAATTTAGTAAATACTGTAATTTTCCATACATAATTAGAAATTTTATCAAATTATACTCAGATCTGGTTAAGTGATCTTCAAAATGATCAGTTTGAATTAGGAGCGAATTGTTTTGTCATCATTGTAATGTCAATAAAGTTGTTAATTTAATAAAAAAATCTGTTGTAAAAGCCTTTCAATATAGTTTTGTTTACAGTTTTTTTTTGACATTTCTACTTACAAAAACAACAAACTTTATAAACATAAATGTGTACCTTGTAGACATGCAAGCTGCCTTCAGTACAGGATCGCGGAGACAGCACCAGATCCTTAGCGACCCCCACTACCAGATGCGGCTGCGCATGAGTGGGGAGGGCCGCGTGCGCCGCCCAGCGCACTATGCACGCGGACACCGCCGCCTCGTTCTGTTCCAGCGGCAATCTGAACAATGTGCTGGGCTGACCGCCGCCTATACCCATGTCTACTACGCGGATCTGGGACGCCCACATACCTGACAACAGTAATAGATATTTTTTGATGGTTCCGTACCTCAAAAGGAAAAAAACGGAACCCTTATAGGATCACTTTGTTGTCCGTCCGTCCGTCTGTCAAGACCGTTTTTCCGAAGAACGCGTCGAGGTATCAAACTGAAATTCATACTCATGTCTATAGTAGACATGAGCATTAGTTATGAATTTCAGTGTTGGAGCTGTGAAAAAATCAAACTTCCAAGCCAAAGCAATCAAAAGATACAGCAGTTTATGCCGCAAATTTACGAAACTCGCACGGGAATCAAAACCTACAGGGTACTTCCCGTGAACTTAGAATCTTTAAATTTGGTACGAAGTAACGTCTTAGAGTACAGATAAAGGAAAAATTGCGAAAACCGTAAATTTTAGTTACATCATATGAAAATAAATATTTTTGAAAATCTTAAAGTTATCTTTTCTCATGAATGCATGGAGATATTAAATTGAGTTTAAAAAAAAAACTAGAAAAAATTCCACGTGATCCTGACAGTAGACGGGACTCGAACCCGCCCCCGCGCATGTACTGAACATTATGCTATCGCGGCTCTAATTGTTCGTGTGGAATTTTCTCTAGAATTTCTTAGGCTGCAAGGCAGCGCCATCTCTTCGCATTGTAGGTGGGTAAAGTTAGAGTAATGGACTTGATATAGCGCAAATCAAAATTTATGACAGTTATGAAGTTACGGAAGGTTCGAGTTCGATGACTTCTCCCGCACATTTACATAATCCTACTTATTGTTTGACTTGCGCGCCAACTTCCCAGCCGCTATTAAGTTTGAAGTGCGCATAAAATGACCATCAAGTCTAAACTAATAGTTTCACTACAAAATTTCTCGAGTAAAATTTATTTCTGTAAGTTAGCTAAACATAATGACACATACACAAGAACATAACTTTTCATGTTTGTAAAACAGTTATCAATCAAGTTTGATGTGGGCCATAATTGTGCAACTCTCTGCTTAATATATGCTGCTATCTGCTTGATATTTGGAAGACTATAAAGCATGGAAGAGGATTACACTAAACAGTTATTTGTTTCAAATGCTTGAATCAAATGCCTCACATGAGTCATCTGGGATTAACGCAAAGATTTGCTATGGCCATATCCGATTAGAGTCAGTATGCTCAATGACATTTTCTGCTCTTGCCCAGAGAATATGGCTAAAGATAGTGAAATTAATGAGACAATGAAACTCACCAGCTCCTGCTTTGGGTGAAGAAAATACATTTTCAGGTAAAACGTCAGAGAGAAAAGCATCTGCCATTTCATTTGCAAGTTGTTGTTCTTCAGGCCCACCACCTGCTGCTGCTTCCCGCATTTCTTGTGCCATTTGTACTCTATTGTGAAAGTATCAATATAAGTACAAATTTTCGAAGGAATACAGTAAAAAACAAATGTTTATATTTAAGTCAGTACTGCAGGAGTATCTACACAAGATTCAGTTTGTGTGTAATATTGTCATCATGATAATAATGACTATTAAAGTATTTAAATTTACAGTTTTTCAAACTTACCGTCTTTGTTTTTTCATATCTTCTGTATAAGAGTTATGATCTGTCTCAAGGATTATGATATGATTGTTGTCACTATTGATAACAAATTTTCTAGGAGTATATTCAAGAGGCACATAGGTTTGATTGAAAACGGCGCCAAGTTTTTCAAGTGCCAAAATTCTTAAGGTATTTGAAGAGATCGCGACTATACCTTCAGCACATTGTTCTGTAATTGAAAGTAGATACTAAGTGTTAAAATAATAACAGTGGTGCTTATGTTAAAAAGGGTTTAATAGATTTATGACTAACTAGTGCTCAAAATAACAATATTATGAAGTTTTATCAGTTTGTCCACGGCATGGTTTTGCCGCCTTCACAGTCTGAGAGACTCCAGCTTGGCTATGGAATATGCCGAGTTCCCACTCAACCGTAAAGGGAGTGAGGTACGATCTACGACGTCGTGGGCCCATCACTGCATAGAAAGCAGCTACACACCACTTTCACGCAAAATAACCCAAGGGCCATCTTACGCAATACGTCGGTAAACAACAATACATAAAAATAATAATCCATCATCAGCCTTTTAATGCCCCCACTGCCGTGGCACAGGCCTTTCTCAGTGCAGATTGTTGGGTGTTAACTGCAGATGCAGAGTGGACCAACGGCTTAACGTGCTTTCCGAAGCACGGAGAAACTCTAGATAATAGGTTTTTGGTCACCGATCCATGACTGGCTATTGCGAATGTTGCTCAACTACCACGATCGCAAGCCGAACTCGTTAAGTACCTGCGCCATCGAGTTCCTCTAAAAATAATAATTACCTGAACTAAATCCAGCTGCATACTCCAAACATTCGTATGAGAGTGGAGTTAAATGAAATCTGTTTTGGTAATGATAACCAAGCCATGTCCTAGACGAAACCGCAAGCACTGCTTCTGTTGCTTGCACCCGAACTTTGAATAACTTTACTGGTCTGGATCCAAGATATCTGTGCATACCATAATAATTTGTAGAAGAAAAGAAGTATAATAATGTAACATTGTAATGATATTTCATGAAATCAGATCTGGTTAAGCATTCGTCAATATCATTCAGATGAAACACGGAGCAAATAATTTACATCATTTAAATCTTAATTACTGGTTTCCAATATGATAAAACGAAAATATATACCTGGTTCTTGTATCTGCCAAGTCTCCACTAACAGAGTCTAAAGTTGTTCTTAGCAAGACTCCATTACTCAGACCAATGTTGAGATGTAATGCAGATTTTGCACCAGATTCAAATGGTTGCTCAACTATACACAAGGACTCTGCTCCAGCTGGTAAAGCTTGCATAGATCTTGGAGACAAACAGTCCTAAAAATATCAGTGCTATTTTACACAGTAATCTTTAGAATAACATTATGATGAAAGGAGTACTTGGAAAACTCAGAAGTTTGAGAATAACGCATTTTTGGGTTTTTGTAATCACATAAATTCAGTGGTGTCCTTTTATCATCATGGTAAGTACATATACAATTTACAAACAAAAATATACAAATGACTTACAGATGGATCCAATGAGATGATCCGAACAGTATTGTCACTGAGCCCAACTGCCAAAAACCAAGCTCTTTGTTCGCCAGTGGCTACTGACCCCAATGCCATACACGATACATCCGAAGATAACTTCTTTCTCTCTGTATATTCATTGAGTTGCCCAGTCTGTCAAAGCAAAGAATATGTTAAATCATTTAAGGAGTTTTAAAAATCATTAATACTGTAATAGAAAATTACATAATTTTGTCCACGGCATGGTTTTGCCGCCTTCACAGTCTGAGCGACTCCAGCTTGGCTATGGAATATGCAGAGTCCCCACTCAACCGTACAGGGAGTGAGGTATGATCTACGACGTTGTGGGCCCATCACTGCATTGAAAGCAGCTACACACCACTTTCACGCAAAATCACCCAAAGGCAATCTTACGCAATACGTCGGTAATTAAATTAATTGGAATATGTGACACACTTACAGGGTCCATTTCGAAATAAACTAATTCTCCCCCTGTTAACGCTATGACTACTTGTCTTTGATTCACAGCACATTTCACAATAGATTTCTTTCCTGGTGCTTTCCATTCATTCACACGTTTATCTGCTCGAATGTGCCTAATACCATCAGGGTAAACTTGAACTAGGGCATCATTGCCGAGTGCATGGCAACTCAGTGTTGGCGTAGTCCCCAAAAAGCCAGAATCTGTTACTTCCTCAACAGTTTCTCCAATAGAGAGCACAAGTGTGGCATTTACGAATGACACTATGATGTAAGAATCATATTCCTCTGCAACCAAAGAAAAACTGCATGATAAATTTAGATTCTTTAGTATAAGCCAGTTAAAAAAAACTCTTCTTAGTGGCAGCCTCCAGGGTAGATAAATGAGTCTCCGTTGCCTACCTGTGGCTTTGTTGGAAGCATCTTGTTCATCGCCCATTAGCAGATTCTGAAAAGAAAAACCACTGGTGTTTATGTATAACAAACAACCAGGGTTTTATTAGTAATTTGTTTTGTAAAAACGGACTTGGTGTCTCCATTGAATTTTTTTTTAAATAAAGTGATTAGACTTAAGAAGTCAGAGTAATCTTCAGTTTTTATTTAATATGTACAAAAGGAGCCTTCATAAGTGGTTTTAATAGCGTCACGATATGTCAGTAACACGGACCAATATTTCTAATCATTATGCTCCTTTTGCCATTCAGCATCATTGCATAATTTTGTCACAAAGTAATGCTATGTATAATTAGTTATTAAATAAAAATATCACTACTAATTACTTTATGTAGCCAGTCCTAGGACTATTACAGATCCACCATTTCATATACATACATCTGATCTTGTTTGCTGCAAATAATAAGGTTTTACTCACCATCTTTGTGCCGTCTAACAGTCCATACTGCATTTGGAGAGCCTGGTAACTCAGAGACGGCCATCTCTGCTACTTCCAATCCATGTCTTAAAGCTCTTATGGAAGATCTAGGTCCACGACCACAGGCTAAGTATACTTGAGGGGTATCTTCTCCAGCCAAATCGGCGACATGACATGCTGTAAAGATGATATTTATCTAATGTTTGTACAACAAAGTATGTATATATATTTTTGTAGATTGTGGCATTACTCTCTAAATCTAAAATCTAATTTGATTACAAACCATATTCTTACCTAATATTGGAGAAAGCGAGTCAAGTTCATCAACCAGTACTAGATTTCTCAGTGGCCTTGGAGCAAAAAAGAATGTATCTCCTTCCTCTAAAGGCATAGCTGAACTAAATTCTGGTTCATCATCCTCATCACCCAAATGTGCAATTTGGTATAAATAGCTAAAAAAAAAAGAAAATTAAGACCACACACATAGGAAATTAAAAAAATCTTTGGATATAAAATCTAACCACCTTATTCACAAACTTGGGACTGTTAGTATTGGTTTAAACCTAATGTTGTCTCAGTCTTCTTTTTTTATCAAACAAAAGTGACAGCATTAGTTTTAGTCCAGGTTTAATTTTAGTCTATATTTTGTAATAAGACAGTAAGAGTTTATTGTTCAAAATAAAAATGTGTGCATCTCTCATCAGTGTGCACTCACCCCATTATGAAAGGGAGGACCTTGGTTCAGAGATTACTTTTCTAGCATGTTTTTAAAAATACAGTGCACATTGGAATGATCCAATCACACAGGCTAACATGCAAATTTATCAATTACAATGTAAGAATACTTACTGGTTACCAAATTCACAGGCAACAAAGAGAAATCCAGTTTTGAGTACACACATTGATGTTGCTACTGGTACTGTATCAAAATATTTTAGTTTTATTTCTGTCACCATATCTTCATCTGTTTCAATAGTTATTTTGAATATATCGCCTTGCTCAGTTTGTGCCAAAAAGAAAAACATTGATTTTGTTTTATGTGTTGCAGAGCATACAAATATCATGCCTCTCTCTGGATCATCCAAATCATTACGGCGGCGAGGTATTGGGCATCTGATGTCATGCTGATCTCCAAGATTTTTGTAAGTCAGATAGTTTTCAGAGCAAATGAGTACACCAGATGGCCCATCGTTGCCTCCAGGTACTGTTATTAAGAAGTTGGCATGTTCCTCTAAAGGCTCAGAGTATTTTCTAACCACATGGTTCAAACCCAAATCCAATTCATAAAAGGTTAATGTCTGTTGTGTTTTCTGGGCTGCTTCACCTAAAAACAATGAATGAATACTTTGTATTTGTTGTTTGTCAAAAAATACAGACTTTTTAGATTAAAACAATCATACAATAGAGGATTTGGCGTCACTGTCAGTCAGAAACACGGACCTCAAAATAATCATAACATAATTATTTCAAATCAAACCAAATCATATTGTTTAAAACATACCTGTAGGATCTGAGTCTGCCTCTTCATAGTCAATTTCTAGACAGGCAAACATTGGGTTCTCGAAACCAACATCTACTCCAACCATGTGATAAACCAAAGTGTTTGATTTGTGCGCCTCCAGAGGTGATGAGATGGTCAGTCTGGCTTCAGCATCTCTGTTCAATATGTAAACTAATTTCTGCTTTTCAATAGCACCTAAAAATAAAGTAATGTGATTAATATAAGTTAGCTAATTGTTTAGGAATATGAATGGGTTGTGGCAACTTAGTCAAAAAAATTACCAATCATAACAGCTCTTCCTTTAGGATCAATGGCTAAGTATTGACCAGGGACAATTCTTCTGCATCCTGATTTTCCAAATGTTTCCTGGTGGACCTTCTCCAAAATATTTTTGGCTGGGATGTATTCCAGAATAACTATACGCCCAGAGTCAGAGCCAATTACAATATAATCTGAAAATTACATTAAGTTTAAGCATTTTTTTACTAGCATTAAATAAGGTAAAATATTACGAAAACGGTTCTTTTGAAAGCAGCCGACATTAAATACATTTACAACTTTAAGAGTTGATACGGCTGTACCAATTCATCATACATCCCAGTATTCATTGAAAATACCAAGTGCGACATGTTGGCAATCAATCTATGCATCTAGTTATCCCATGCTTGAATTGTAATAAAAACATGGAGCAAGACGATGCAAGTAAACTTTGTGTACCTAGTATTTGCAAATCACTTCCAAGTAATTTACTGTGCCAGCTGCAGACTGCACAAAGATGGTTCAATTAATATAGAGATATTCATGTTATGTGACGAAATTAAGTATTTTCCTACCTCTAATGGATGTTTATGTGTATTTAAGTTTATTTATACATTTAACGCTAATTGTGCAAGCTATGCTTAGTTTAAGATTGTTGTGAAAGCATCAAACTTGTTTAGTCAATATATAGAACAAGAACAGCACAAACACAGACTAATTCTTTAGCATGTGTTATTTAAATTAGCAGGTTGAGGAAACTCTAAGATAGACCAAAAATAGAACACACCCCCAGATTAGTTCTTTAGCATGTGTTAAATAGGTAATAGTTTCTAGGTTTAGGAAAGACTAGATAGACCAAGAATAGCACATACCCCCTAGTTCTTTACCGTGTGGTAGATGCAGGTCACTAATGTTTAAAGGTTATGTGAAAAGGTCACCGACCTTACCACGTGTTTTTTTAGTTCACTAACCTTTGGTTCCTCCCGTGAGACGGAATGACATCATTGATCGTATAATGCCGAAGATCTCCACCTTCATCAAAGTATGCACCTTTCCTGTGTTTGGATCTGGTCGTAATAACTCCAAGATTTTTCCACGCGATATCACAATTTCTTGTTGCTTTGTGCCGGAAAAGTTTCCATGCACAGCATGAGTTATAGATGTAGAGCCTTGCAACGTGAGATTATATAAATACATGTTGCTGGCTTAAGTTTTACCTGAAATAAATAGGGGAATAAGTACACGGGATAATAGCTAAATATTTAGCTGAACACTTAAATAATTTACTTGTATGGCTCGTAACTATCGGAAACAGAGAATTTACTGTGCTTTCGAATGGGTGAACCAATTGATATAGCACCGCTAAAACGACCACAACGCATATATGGAAACACTGTGGAGATACCTGGTGCAAAATGAAGCATACATACAGAAACTTTATGATAGTGAATGGTTTATTATTACTTACGTTTACGAAATAATGGCGGATTGCCGCGATGCGGCTCGATTTTAATTTGGTTAGAGTCACTATTTCTGTTCACCGGCAAAATGGCGGAGCGAAAGAGCGCCATGTCAAACTGCGCAAGTTGTCTATAATCCTGACCAATCAAAATGAAGCATTTTTTAATATGGCGCCCTCTTTTATACACTCAGGGTTGCAAGAAAACAAAAATATTGTCTTTGGAAAAACAGTTTCAGTGCCCTCTAGTGTTGAAAAGCAAAAGTGATGACGATCTTTACACCGCTAGAGTGCGTTGTTTGCCGATAGCGACATCTAGTAGATGCTACCGTATTTAATATAGTTTTATTTGTTTCACCTAGATGGCGATATTAGTACAAAAGTTCACCCATGCGGTGCTGCTCGCTTACGTTACCGGAAAGGGAAAGAAAGAAACAAAGAAGTTAGTACGACCGAATTTATTATAGTAAAAAAACTGATAGTAGCCGTTCTGCAACTTTGCCACATGGAAGGAATGTACATACTTTAATTAAAACTGTAGTTTTACTGAAAGAAGGCCGTCTTCATTCATCATAGATGTGATGTGATGTGATTAAAAGTAGTTTCAATGCAGTTCGTATTGTTTTTAAATAAAAATGAATTCTTCTCATCTCCTCGAAAAGACCTAGTTTATTCTAGGTTAACAGGAATCAAAATATCGTTTTAATACCTAGGGATTAAAATTAATAAATAAAAAAATGGATGCGTGTAACTTATGTACGCGCGTGAGAAGTTATACTTCTTTAGCATCATTAAAAATATTTTTAATTGCATGCAAATAATTAATAATTACAATAAAATAATAAAAGGACTGGAAAAGGATAGTTAACACAGTCAATTAAGTTCAGTTTTAATTTGAAAAATTAAATAAATATTCAAAATATTCAATAAAAATCACTACTGAATTTAAGTTATTAGTCCATATGTAATTAGCACTTGTAAGTAACTAAAACACGTTGTGTCTATATAGAAACTAGAAACATGTGGATAAATATTATAAATATGAAAACAGTGATCAGAGGCGACGAGCGTGCCAACATTGTTTTTGACAACGCGATCATCTTATGGATCTCCGTGAATCGTTCAAAGTACCTTTCGAACAGATGTCTAATAATGGAACTAACATTCATAACGCGCCAGCGGCCAACTTCATGGTGTTACTATTGTGTTACAGTGATGCGCGCGCATCTCGAAATTTCACTCACATGATTTTTTCATAACGCGCCCGCGGCCATCTTCATGCTGTTACTTTTGGGTTACAGTGATGCGCGCGCATCTAAAAATTTCACTCTCATCATTTTTTCATAACGCGCCTACTATACTTCTTTAGTATAACTTCAATATTTCCAACACACACACGAATTAGCTTAGCCCCAAAGTCAGCACTGTAGGGTTGTGTTATGGGTTACTAGGGTAACGGATAGAATACATATACTGATACATACATAAGTGTATTTATATAGAAATCAATATTAAACATCCATCACTGGAGTACAAATGCTCGTATTCATCACACAAATATCTGTCCCCACCGGGATTCGAACCCGGGACCTCTCGAGTAGGCGACACCTTGAAACCCGGCGTACAAACCACTCGGTCACGGAGGTCGTCAATTAAAAGTGATTTGAGTAAGGAATGTGGTTATTAGTAATAGTTCCAATAAGAAAAGAGATCAATCACAAACACCTTATTATCAAGTTCCATAGACTTGTTGTATTACAGTAGGCCTCCTGCTCAGGTGGTATAACTGTGTCTCCATATTTTATGGATTTCACCAGATGCATTTTCTTGGGAAACAACATAACTATAATCAACTAATTTAAGGCCTCCTTTTAAAGTATTATTGATAGCATTGGATCCGGGTAAAGGAGTTGCATAACAATGCAAAATTTTACGCAACTTGAGTCTATGACGAGTTATGGGAAAATTCACAAGAGAAAATTTGCAAGCGGAAGAGTTCTCAATACAATATGCGCCGTCTTGATCGATATACATTTCCTTATCTACTGGCATGACTTTTATTATTATTTCATAGTACTCGCAATTATGAGCCTATTTTTTGAGAAGCAAACAGATTTATGAATTCACAAATAAGTTTCTAACACATTTGTGGTATAATCATTCGAAATAGTTAATATATCCGTAGGTCGTATTTCGTTTTGGGACCACCTTTTATTTGATTATAATTTATAAGACTCATTTGACCTGTGTCAATTTCTTTAGTGGTAGGTTTAATTTTGTCCAGATGTAGGACGGATTGCAGTATTTTCCAGTACGGTAGATGTATATGGCTGGGGGAATGTTGAATTTTGTTCAGTTCAATGCCAATCTCTTTTGTAAACTAGTCAAAGGAATCTTCAGTCTTTAACTCAGATCTATTTAAATTTCACGTATATCTGTAGGTCTAGGTACGTGACGTAGAACCGGGTAGAAAGTTTATGGTAATACTCTCTGCTTCTCCGGAATCATTTGAAACCCCACCTTATATTAGTAAAAAAAGAAATAAAACCTACTACAAAAGGAATAAGTCATTTCATCATTATGTTCTAAAATCTAATCAAATAGCGCGGGCTTCTCAAACTTCCTGTTACACACTTTCGTCCCACTTCACGTTATCACTCCCACAAATTGCACGAAAGCGAGAGGAAAGAGGTTACACATAAAAAAAATCTTTTATCATTAACAGCAATATCACTTTATCTGTTGGTCCGAATGGTATTCGAATTGGTTTAGGATCCTTATCTCCATAAAAAAATTCGCAATGGTAAACTTTTGGTCTGAAGTTAAAAAAGCAAGGTTTATGTACTACAAATTCCAATGTGCTGTGGTTGTGATGACGGAGCCATGTATCGATTCATGAAATATACGGCTAAAGAATAATGACAGTAACTAAAATATTATATTTTTATTTATTAAAACAATAGATACATTTATATAACAAAAACTTTAAAAATACTTGATTTCTAAAATTTACAATCCAAATTACCTTATCCTACTTAAATAATATATCATTTACAAATTAAAAAATATGTCACCCTCAGCGCCGCCGTCATTAAATTATAATTTTGTTTGCACGATAAACATTATAATGTTTTGTATTTTTTATTAAAACTTTTTTGATTTTAGAAAAATTACGACAATATAAAGCATAAAGTTAATAGTATATTAAGTTTATGATATAAAGTATCCTGTATGACAATCCTCCTACTAATATTAAAACTAGAGGTCGCCCGCGACTTTGTCCCCATTAACTTTAGTTTTTTGAAGAATCCTTCAGGAAACTAACATTTGTTCGGGATAATAAATATCCTATGTATGTCGCAATGTTATTGAGAAACTTTGTAAGTGGAGCCTTTAAAAAGCAAATCAATAAATAGATAGATGTAAGTAAATTGATTTTTTAGCCAAATGTGTTCCATTTGGTATTTATAAATGTAATTTATTTGCGGAAACGACTACAGTAAACCTGCAGTGTGTATATTTATTTGCTCAGTTTAAAGCACTTATAGTAGGTAACGTGCAAAGGCCAACATAGTAACACGTGCAGCTCGACCGTGGGTCGTATGTGTGGCCCTGAACAGGTAATTGACAACAAGGATCGCTTATTATAAATCATTAAACTCACTTAGCAAGAGTGACATTTCCTAAACGTCATATATGTAATAGTTTCAAAAATCAAAATAAATAAGTATTTACCACTTCTTTTTTTTTCTCTTTATTAGGGTAAACAAACAATGCTACAATGTTGTTACATTTTAAAGTATTACTACCAATGTACTAATTGCATCATCCACTACCTACATTTACCACAGAGTTTCTAACAGTAATTAGCATTGGTAGACTGTGTACATTTAACTTAAACTTACAATTAAAATACAAAAAAAAACAATAATTTATTTCTTTGCCTAGTATGCATATATATATGTATGTATATATATATATATATATATATATATATATATATATATATATATAAATATATAAATACATAAATTTTAATACAATTTCTGATTTATTTATTTGTAGTACTTTTCTTATAAACGTAGTAACAGGGCTCGTATAAATGTCAATTGCATTAAATTCCTCGTTGTAAGTCTGGGCAAACCGATATGCCTGCATTTGTATGATGTTTTGGCATTAATAATAATAATGTTTATTTATTCTCACCACAATACAAATATTTTGGTACAGACATATTGTTTGTATTTACAGTAATATATTGCTACAAAGCAGCTGCTCGTAGGGTAATAAGCTTGTATGTATATGGATAACTCAAGAAAATTTTGGTCCAGACATCACAAAGGATGGAAACCCGTATTTCCCGCCCGGAAAGCGGAAGGGAGTGAAGTTGTACTAGTAAAATTTTCTTTAGATTTATAAATGCAGCATTTAAATGCTCAAAATAGAAATATAAACTATGTACACAACTAGCTTCCGCCTGCAACTTTGTTTCTGTAAACTTTAGGTTTTTGAGAATCCTACAGGAACTTAACATATTTCGGGATGTAAAGATACCATATATCAATCCAGGTCAACGATATTAAATACCCAGGTGCCAAAGTATAGTATAACTGTATTTAAGAAAGGCAGGGCATAGCGCATTTTCTGCTCGAATTGGAGCGCCCGTCTGGGGAAGTAAACTCCGCCTTCCAGAAGACCATGGTGTTTCTGTCGGTGAGTAAGGTTACAGGGTTCCACGGGGTAGGGGATAGGGATAGTGTAGGCAACGGCACGAGTGATATTTTTTGTATCGAGTGCGTTTACAGTAGGCCATGGCGCCCGCTTACCATTTTACAACCAACCAACCTTTTAACAAAAAAAAAAGTAGTATGAGTGCCAATTTAAATCAAAATCCGTTTATCCGTTTGCGTAATAGAGTAAAAATTTAACTGCACATTAGTAGGACAGAACTTTTAATCAGCAGCCTTATTTTATTAAAATTTTGTGGACAAGTCTATACATTTATCATTTCATTCCGATTAGTTCTTCTTGCAGTAGCTACATAACATGTGAAGATTAATCGTAAAAGTCTAGCATTGGTCAACCAACTTGTCCACATTGTTACCGAACAACAACTTATACTTAACGATCTAACTGTTAA